GGCATCAAAAATATATCAATAACACTTTATACAAATTGTTTTGATATCAAAATTATATCATTAGTATTTTATATAAGTTATTTTGATACTTATCAATAATCGTTTGACATATTATATCAACATTCTCTAAATCTGAAATCCTTGACAGTTTTTTTTTTTTGCGAATATATACTTCATTATATTTATCTATATATACTTATATCTACTGAATTCTATTTATACCTATCTATACTTATCTATATATACCTACATATTCCTACACCTACCTAATATCTAGAGTATCTTAATATATAATAACTTTCTTTATAATAAAAGACATACAATAAATAATATACTAAATAAATATAAACAAATATATCAAATATATACCAAAAGCACTACATACAAATTATTTTGACACTAACGATATACTGTTGGCATTATATACAAATTATTTTAGTATCGGAGATATACCAATAACGCTTTATACAAATTATTTTGATACCAACAGTATACCATTAACATTATATACAAATTATTTTGACACCAACAATATACTATTAGCACTTCATACAAATTATTTTGGCACCAACAACATGTCATTGGCACTTTATACAAGTTATTTTGGCACTACTTTGGCGCCGCTTAGCAGTCTTTGGCACATCGCAATAATAATCTCTAAATCTGAAATCCTTGGCAGTTTTTTTTTTTTGCGAATATAATATCAAAATCAGTTATAATATTATTATATAATAATCAAAGAAACAGATCTCTCCGATTTCAGTTTAAATAACTGATTTAACAATAATTATATAGTTTTCCTCATCCTAATCCAAATCAGATATCTTCTTTATAAATCATTTGATTTCTTTAAAATCAATTTTTATATATCCCCATTTGAATTTAATAACTCTATTATACTTCTTATTAGAATCTTCAAAGGATTAAATAATAACAATCTAAATAAAAACTTTAAAACCATTATCAGAAGTATTACCATCCAATTTAATAGTTTTGAATTGAGCTATAAAAAAAGTGATCTCCTTAAGGATCCATTTCGTATTAAAAATACAAAAAGTTTTAATAAAGATAAATATTGTTTTGATAACAAACTTGGATAATATAATTACAAGATAATTATTAATATTGTAATACAAATTTGTAACTTAATCAAAAAGGATTTATAGATTATTATATAACATATATATAAAAAATATTATACAAGTTAAATAAAGGCTTGCATTTTAAAAAAGTGATATTTTTAGAAGTGGAAATCTACATGCACACTCCATTTTTGATAAATGCGAAAACTCACACTACCGAGCCAAACAAGGCCTTAGATATAACCCTTAAGAACCGCCGCCTCAGCATTCAATATCGAAGAACCAGCTGCTCCAATTACCGCTGAATGATATTAGCATCTGGCACTATAGAAGCGAAAGCAAAAAAGATGAAGACTTACTGTTATGACTCAATGCCACAAATTTGAGATCAAATATCCCGCTATCATCTTCCCTGACTCTTCCAACACTCACCGTATACCCATTTTGTGTATTACGATCCAGTCTTGGCTGTGGTCTATCTGGCTCTTCCATAACCGCAATCGCGGGCTCTGGCGCTGATGGGCATCCTAATGTCTGAGCCTCACTTACATATTCTCTCATCGCCCTTTTGACTTCTTCTGCGGTAGGTTTTGGACCATCACGATTCTTGAAGCGGAGAGATATACATGCCATATGCCCATCTAGAACCGCGACTCTATTACAAGCAGCTGAAATCTTCAAGTCGGATTGATCCTCAAACCCAGTAATTTCCGGATTGACCTTTCCGAGAATCTTCTGTGCCTCTGTTTCTAATTTATCTTCTTCGCCGGATATAAATGGGACGACGTTGTCGATAATATCCATGCTGCTTACACCTGGATAGCCGGCACCGCTAACGGCTTGCATTGTCACGACGCTCACTTGGTCTATTTCACCGAAAGCTTTTTGGATGGCGGCGAAGGGAATGACTATACCGATGACAGCACAGTTGGAGTTACAGACGAGGAAGCCTTTATTTAATGAGTGGGCGCGGCGCTGGTGAGGGATGAGGTCGAAATGGGGGAGATTGACTGTGGGGACGATGAGGGGAACAATTGGATCGCGGCGGTAGTTTTTGGCATTGGAGAAGACGGCTAATTCAGCCTTCATGAATTCCATCTCTGGACAATTGAATCAAATTAGCATTGCTCTCAATCAATCTGTCATCCCACGCGCAATTGAACTTGCAAGCAGACAAACAGTAAGAATCCAGGCTTATCCTACCAATATCCCCCGCAACCTCAGCATCCAATCCACTAAACACGATATCACAATCCGCAAATTCGCTTGCTTTACATTCCTTAACAATTAGATCGCCAATCTCAGCAGTCATTGGAAAGGCTTGCTTCCATTTGACGGCATCTTTGTATTTTTTGCCTGCGGATCGCGAAGAAGCTCCCACGGCGTGGAGTTTGAAAGATGGATGTTGGGCAAGGAGAAGGATGAATCTTTGGCCCACGGAGCCAGTGCATCCAAGTACACCTATAGGGAGATTAGTTGGTGTATATCATGTGGAAAGTGGGAGAGTGCGATGCGAGTGAGATGTGAGGGAGGGAATTGACTCACCACAACGCTTGGTAGGGAATTGAGTGGCCATGGTTTGCAAATAGTTGATATGGCAGTGAGATGTTTTTGATAATGGGCCCGTATACTGGTATATGGAAAGTATGAAAAGTATGGGAACGGCAACTTAGAAAGTTGTTTATTATTGGAGGGGTGCAAGGCTGAAGTATCTATTTTTTCTATGGGGTGCCGACCTCGGGCATGCAAGGCTGAAAATTGTTCTTTGGGGGTGGGATTGGGACTGGGCGAGTCACATTGTAAAGAAGATTGATGTGATTGGCACACTTACCTGGGATATCTCAATCCTTCAAAAGTTCGAATATAGCAAAACAAACAAAAATATACACCGTTTTGTGTGTGCCGTCTAAGGCGATCATAGGTCTTTTACTGTCTCCGAAGACGGATAAATCATTGTGGAGTGGTTCATTATCTTGAGTTTTAGCTATTCCTCTATCATACATCCATCGCCATGTGTGATACCTAACTATCAACCTCTGGCCTTTAATATTGGCTTGCTGTACTCTGGCACGCTTTCTAGAGAAAAAACTCTGTTAGCTTGTTATAGAAGTCAAGAAAATAAGTTTCGTTCATACCATTTGCTCCAAATACCAGTTGCATATTGACATGTTTCCTTGATTCTCATCCATGCAATTGGTGAAGCTCTTCACCTGGAAGCCACAGTTTGGTTCGCCGAACTGGTTCTTCTCTTGAGTCTGGGATGCTACAGCATTATCTTGAGCTGCCTCAGGTGCACTAGATCCACCGCCAAAGAAACCGGTAATTGCATGGCCTAATGAAGATCCGATGGCGACACCTCTACAGAACTGCGATCAGTATTTGACCTAGCGAACTATGCCTGCGATGGGGGAGACTCACGCTGCAGTACTGGCCACTTGCCCAAGTAAGCCTGAACCAGAGCTTTGGGTTTGTGGAGTACCTGCTTGTGCTTTGGGGGCTGCTGGAGGAGCTGCGCCCGCTGGCCTTGGTGGGTATGCAGCAGTAGTTGCCGGTCGGGTTTGTTGGGTTGTAGGTGAAGGTCTGCTGGGGGCGGCGACTGTTGGTCGAGATGGGGCGCTTCCCCTTCCAGATCTTCCTTGACGAGGCATGATTAACTTGTGGTTAATGAGGTGAGAGAGATAAGTTGAAATTTCTAGGTGCGATGCTTCGATGTTGCCTGTTGCCTTCGAAATTGAAGTTGTTGATGGCGGCCAATAAGCCGGAAGATATCACATTTCATTCAATTTAAACTAATCCTAATCGGGCTAGGTCAGCCTCAATATATTCGCTGAGTGATTTGTATGAGGCAGGCACTGATAACTAAGAGTACATAGATACCTAGGAGCATTTATTATAAAAATGCTACCCGGTACTGAATGTATGATAGATAGACTAAAGTTTGAATATACCAGATTCAGTAATTGATTACAAAATGTAGAAGAATACGATAATTTTCTTGTTATGATATAATAATACCTAGATAGTATTCATTACTACTTCTCTCGACTACGAATCTAGATACTTGTTGCTGATTGCCTTTTGCTTTTTGAAAAATCATGGTATCATCCCTAAGCTAAATCCAGAACGCCTTCGTCCAAATATTCATACAACCCCAAATTTAATTCTTGCTCTTGTTTTTCTTTAATTTGCTCTTCGTTTTCTTCTCATGGGCTCCTCGCTTGGACTTTTTGGATTTGGAATTGGAGGCTGTAGAGCTATCCTCTCTCGCATCGACTGGTGCTCCTACCTTGGCAGTCTTCGACTTTTTGCTTTTGTGTGCTACTGGTGCAGGCGAATTCGAAGTATCGGAAGTTGAACTGAAGTCATCATGCTCGTCTGAAGTTTTTGATTTTGCCTTATCCGGTTCTGTTACGTCTTCATCCACCTTTCTCTTCTTCGATAGCTCCTCGAATCGGATATGAGACTTGGCTCTCTCCTTCGCTATTTGCTCTGCTCTTTGCAGGTCATACTTATCATTTCCGCTCTGAAGGCACAGTCAGTATGTATCCCCAAGCCTTTGATTGGACAAGAGTAGGGGCTTCCTTACTAGCCCTGCTTTGATGAATCTTCCAGCAGCTCCTTTATCTAGTTTGAGATTCCTCTCTGCTGCGACTGGAGGGTTTTCTGTGAGTTTGATCTTCTCAAAGTATTGTTTCATCCGCGTAAGCTCAGTGAAAACGGGATGTTCACGAGCGTTAACGCCATTAAGTCGGAGGTATGCTATCGAATTGATTAATACAAAAGCAGAAGAAAAGACATATATGAGTCAATGGGAAGCTTACAGAATAATATGGACTCAATAGCATATGTGACGAGAGTGTAAAGCTTCGCCTTATCTAGTAAGGGCAACTTGGATGCGAATTCCGGAATGGTTTTTTGAATGAAAGGTGCAACAGCATCTTCTATGTCATCAATATCGTCATCAAGCTGCTCGAGCAAAGACAAAATCTTGGTAGGATCCATTCTATATTGATTGTTGTGAAGTTATTTGTGCTTGTGTTTGTGTTTGTGGTTTTGTACATAAAGTACAATTATTTGTATTTGTATTTTGTATTCGTATTCGTAATAATTCGAATTCGACCTTTCAACTTTCTTTCTTTTTAGAGATTTTTACTAATTTAGGAATGGATGTCCCGATTCCCGATGTATTCGGAAAAACGCGGCCGCATCAATTTTTATATTTTGAATTGACGTCTTCCAATTGGATTACGCGATATATAATAAATATTCTACTAAGTGCTTAGGTAAATCGACAATTTTTTTCCGATTTCTAGATAATTGGAAATTCATAAAAATAAACTTTGTCTCCAACGCGAGTACTTACTTAATCTTCTTTCACGTCTTGTCCATGAATAGACTTCAGTCTTATTTTACACTAATCCCAAGCTTCAAATATATGTCGAGTTAGCTAGCTCTCCCTCACCCCCACACCAAACGGAACTAGCTATAAGACTTATTTTGCCTCATCTCTTACAAAGTCAACAAAACTTCACCCTCCGCTATCAATCGTCACAATATTACCTTCTCTCCCCTTTGCGAATGTCTACAAGGACGTGAAAACTTCCTCTTTTTTGTTTCGGGTGCAGACGATTGCAACGACGACAGAGTATCATCTTACTTCTGCTTGTCTGCCATGACTTCATATCAATAACCATTGAGACTGTTCATCCTGTCTTTTCCAAGGTGCGGTCGTCCGCTGTGGCGGTTGCTTACTCGAAATCCTCAAAATCATCGATGGTCCTCCGGTAGCATTTCCTTTGGCCGGGTGGCCACTTGCACTTGGTCGAGGCAAAACGGCACATACTGGTGGCCGAGGCGAAAAGGGAGATTGCATGCCAGCTTGTCATGCGTCTGGGGTTCAGAAAGAGACACCCCCACCATCGGAACTTCTAGGAGCCATGGGAATACAAGCGACGGAGGGAATATAAGCGACGGGGTCAACGTGAGCGATGGACCGTCTAACAATGATAGCCCCGATCAAGGAGGCAAACCCAGACAATTTATACCTGATGATTATGCGAATGCTGCGGATATAGATTCTTGGGATGAACACGAATTGGCATGGCACAGTGAAGAAGAAGATGACACTTCGTTTGACGATTGTGCCGACTTGGATCGCCATTTGGAATGGGAGGCAAATATGAAATTGTCGCCAGGAGAACTACAGGATAATAATGACTTTGGAGAGCTTCCGTATGCTTATATCTCTGAGGATAGGCCTGAAAACTTGTTTACTCCAAAAGCTCGAAGCATGGACATGGAATACGCCAATGAAGAGTCGCCCACGGTGCCTTCTTACCAGCATGGTCAAGAAACTTTGCAGTCAAGTCAACAGGCCGCCGATGTTAATGACGAACTACCGTCTCAGGATTCACTTCGCGGAGATATCAGGCCTGTGTCACGCAACATCCATGTACTAGGAACAGGGCCAGTTGGACAGTTCATTGCATTCAACCTTGCTGGATTGGACTCTCCACCGCCAATTACTCTACTGATGCATCGACCACTGTTGCTCCAACAATGGCAACAAACTGGCGAAGTACTCAGAGTACTCAAAGATGAGATTATCAGGGAGCAATTTGGTTTCAACGTTGAATTATCTGCGACTTTTAATATTCCTGGGCCCGAGTTAGATATTAGCAGCACTGAGCACAGGTTTGGATATTCGGAGGAGGTGATAGATAATCTGGTCATTACTACGAACGGGGCCAAAACCGTGGCGGCACTTACATCGATCAGGCATCGTCTTCGGCCTCATTCGACTATATGCTTTGTGCAACATGGGGCAGGTGTTATCGAGGATGTCAACATACACGTTTTCCCAGATATTCAAGATCGTCCCCACTACATGCTTGGCAACTTGTCGCATGGAGTATTTGCAACAGGGCAACTATGGACTGTCGCTCAAACTACGCAGGGAGAGCTGAAGCTTAGCATTTCGCAACCCGAGACCAATGCAGCAACTAACGCGCCAGCTACCGCGCCAGCTAATGGACTATTGACTACGGGTATAGAGAGGAAGCTCACCAATAGCTGGGCACCATCTTCAAGATACATGTTGATGGTACTGAGTCGATCCCCTCAACTTAAAGCTGTAGGGTTAAACTATCCTGACTTCATGAAATTCCACCTCGAATTCATTGCCGTCAACTCCGTCATCGGGCCGTTATCCGTCATCTTCGATTGTTCGAACGATCACCTCTTGTACAATTTCCAGGCGAGCCTAACGATGAGGTCCCTTCTGAAGGAGATTTCAGAAGTTTTGATAAAACTTCCAGAGCTCACGACAGTTTCAAATCTAACCAAGCGTTTTGGGAAACGCAGACTTGAAAGCATGGTATTATCGGTGCTTGCTCGCAGTGGAAAGAATGTGACATCCATGTTACAAAATGTTAGAACTGGAATGAAGACGGACATTGATTTCTATAATGGCTATCTCGCCCGACGAGCTAAGGAATTGGAGATCCCTTTCACCTCAAATGAGCTGGTTATAAGTATGGTCAAGGCAAAACAAGCCATGAAATCAAGGGAAATGAATTCATATATACCTGTGGTTGAACGGAGATAGATAAGATGTATAGACATGATGGATTTGCGGATAAAGACCCTCCCTGTTATATATTATTGTATAGTACACCTTAGATCAAAGTGGCATTACAGATCAATAAATAACGCACTTACACCTCTCTGCAAGTTCTATCCCTTGAAGTATAATTTTAAGAGACTTACTCGAGTACAATTACAATTGAAAACAAATTATTCACTGATTCATGATTGTGGTGTGATGCTCTTCTTTACTCTTTTCTGCATAACGAGGGGTAAATAAGCCTGTGGCCGCCCTTCACCCACCAAAATATGGGTACACTCACAACAACCAACATCCCTCATTTTCTTCAACCAGAACAAGCCATCACACAATAACCACCTTAAAGTATGGAAGACGACGACTTAGCACAAGTAGGTCACAAGAAGACTTGAGCATCATTCGTAATTAATCATTTCTCTAGATTAGAAAAGCTCGGCTTGAGCAGCTCAAATCCCAAGGCGGGGGGGGTGGTGGAGGTGGAGGAGGTGATCGACCAGGCGCGGCAAGCGGTGGTGGAGGACAAGATGATGGCAGACAGTGCGCTTCATGGCCTTAATATATATGTTTGAATCACTAACGTTTTGCGCAATAGACAGGAAGAAGAAGCAGCTCGTCAATCAATCCTAAATCAAATTCTCGAACCCGAAGCCGCAGATCGTCTAGGTCGTATCAGACTTGTGAAAGAATCCAGAGCTGTCGATGTTGAGAATCGCTTGATTATGTTGGCGCGATCCGGTCAGTTGAGACAGAAGATTACGGAAGAACAACTGAAGGACCTGTTGAGCAGCGTGTCGGAATCTCAGAAGGATGAAGAAAAGATTGTGGTTACTAGGAGGAAGGGTGCTTGGGGCGACGACGATGATGATCTTTTGGATTTGTAGTTTGTGAAAACATGGCGAGCAGATAATTCAGGGATGGCACCTATTAGTGCCGGGATGATTTTTGGCCTCCGAGAAATGGGAATCAATACTGTGGCATCAAATTACTACGGTATCAAGTATTCTTTAAGTTGCTTTCTGAGCCTTTATCCTCTCCCTCTCCATCCGCCTAATATCTCTAAGGTCGAGAGGCTTCTCAATGCCTAGCTCCTCCCTCAGTTCCTCCACATTCCTTTCCAGCTGCTCTTCCCAATAGACATTAATAACCTCCTCTGTTTTCAAGCCATTCGTGAATGCCCAAGGCGCATAAATAGTAAAGAATCTCCTCCTCTCTGCCGGTTTTAATGACATTACAGCAAACATACTCAGACCCGTCATTGGCAACAGAGTACTGGCAAACTCAAAGGCCTTGAGCGCCACTTCGCCTTCCCGCACAATGGGTAACCCGGTTATAGCATGGTAAAAGTCATGGCATTCGCGATACCGTTGCATAACATACGCGCATTCTTCGTCATTAATGTATTTTACTGTATCTCGTGTATCGGGTGAGACTCCTTCACGATCCAACCAATCTGCATAACACCGGCCTACAGCGTTTGGGGGAAGGCTCCGGAGGTGTGTCATGGAGAGTGTCTTGGAAGATATTCGAGGACGATCGCGAAGGATGCGTCGGCCAGTGGGAGAAGAAAGCATGGCATCACGGAGACGGTAAATGAAATATGGCGTTGCGGTGGCTTCTCCACAAGCTGCTATTAGATCTAGTTTCCAGTGTTATTAGTTGAGAGTAATCGTAGATACAGTTTTCAAACATCGATTCATACCTGCACGATAAGGATTGAAAAATGCCATGACTGCTGAGCCTACAGCCAAACCACCCCGCTCAATAGAAGTAAGCGGTACATGGCCTGGATAATTTGGAACTGGACGATGTAATACACTAAAGCTTCGCGTAGCTATAGATATTGAGCAGGCGATAAGTAGTTCCCTTGGAGGACGAGCTGCCTGAGCGTAGATACGATGTGACAGCGATATCGACATATTTGTGCCACCAGATAGATGTTGAGGGTGTAAGTTCCCGCTGCCCCTTCCCCAGGAGGTTTCTCGGCAAAAGCAGCACTAGAAGAAGCAATAAATGTCATACTTTTATGAATTCACAAAGCATGATTAACCTCGAAGTACGGATGCCCCGTCCACCAAATGCTTATATCTAGTAGTTCTAGTTAATAGGTAAAGCTTGTTGGGGAAAGATCTACAAAATGGTCCAGTCTAACGACACAAACTCTCACTACAGTTTGAACATAGGGATGCAAGTACATCGGGAGTTCACAGAATGGGCTGTCAACCAAGGTGTCATCATCAATGGAATTGCACCATTCCGGTTCCCAGGAAAGGGTCTAGGATTGGTTGCGAATAAGGATTTCGAGGTACAAGAGCTGTCATAGAATCCTACCCCTTTCGAAGAATCCTGTGCTTGCTAATCTGCAGTAGATAGGCGATATTCTGGTTCGAGTTCCCATCAAGGCGCTTCGTAAAGCTACAGATGTATCTTCTCAGTATTCCGAGTTGGCACCAGATGTAGCTGTTCATTCTCTTCTCGCTCTCTCCCTGGAATCTTTGCTCGGGCCAGAATGGAAAGCTGTCCTGCCCTCCAACCAAGACATGCATACCTCCATGCCTTTATTTTGGGATCCTTACTTGCAGGAGCTCCTCCCATGCCCAGCGCAGACTCTCCTTGAAGCGCAAAAGAAGAAAATCACTTCCACCTGGACTGTTTTCTGCAAAGCGTTTCATAAACCACCCATAAACTACGGTGAATTCATGTACAACTATAGCATCGTCAACAGTAGAACATTCTATTACCTTTCACCGACTATCAAATCCTCCAAGCTTCAACCACAGAAGGAGGATCGTCTTGCGTTGAATCCTTTCGCGGACTATATGAACCATAGTTCACAACCCACAGTCAATGCGGCTCTAAGTCGCGCCGGCTACACACGTGAGCGCATTTACATCCTCAGCTAACAATCGCTAATTTTTGATATTCTAGTCACTGCCTCGCAACCCATCAAGCAGGGTTCCGAAGTGCACATATCATACGGAAGTCACAACAACGATTTCCTCCTCGTCGAGTACGGGTTTATACTAGATGACAACCGATGGGATGAGGTAACCTTAGATCCATGGATAACACCTCTGCTAACCTCAGACCAAGAAGAATACCTCAAGGACATGGGATTTCTCGGGAACTACCTGCTAGATCGAGACACCATATGTTACCGCACGCAGGTAGCTTTAAGGATTTTCTGTTTACCGTTAGGCAGATGGAGAAGATTTGTAGATGGGCTCGAGGGTGAAGAGGTTTCTCAAAAAGCGGCGGAAAAAATATTGATGAGAGTGCTGATGGCTGGCAAGACCGCGGCCATGGAAACGATCAAGAGGATAGGGGAAAGTCGTGCCGGGCTAGATGACCAAAGAGACACTCTGAATAGGCGCTGGATGCAGATAGTTTTATTATTGGAGAGGGCGTTGAACCGAATTGAATGCTAAATTTCACCAATGCTCACTTTGCTTTACGTGATGGCCTTCTCAACCTCCTGATTTAGGGCGTATCTGCCAAGCTAACTTCATTCTGCCATACCGTATTAACTGGTTAGGAAGGTATTATTTATTTGTGTATACTAGTTGGATAATAGTGTATGGTTCTTATATTACCAAAAACTTTTTAATTCTCTATAACATATTAATAATATAATAGTCATAATATATATTAATAATAAAATGATCACGATATAATATAAAATAAATTTGTCTATCCAATCGGTATATCTATATATTCCTTTCCTTTCTTTATTCTATATTCATATTATCTTCATTATTGTTATTATCCATTTCATTATCAAAATCAGAGAGATTAAGAGATCTATCAGAATCTATATTATTGTTAGTATATATAGTAGCTTTATTATCCGAATCAAAATTCCCAGATATTCTATTTGCTTTTTCCTTTACAATATAATAAATTACTATACAAAAAGCTTTACACCTTAAAATCATTTGAGAGAGGGGGAGAGTATTAAGAGTATAAGTATTAATTACAATAACTTTGTCTTCAATCTCCTCTTAGATTTCAAGAACAGAAAGGGTATCGATTGCCGGTGAAAGAGTTCAGAAAAGTCCCCAATTTCAAAATCTGATAAATCTCTGATTTTTAGTTTATGGTTTTCAAAACTATTAGGATTTAAAATTAATTCTAATTATTAGATTTAAAATTAACAAAAGAATATATAAAGAAGAATAAAGGAAGGCAAGAATAAAACAAAGAGAAAGAGAGGGAAAAAAAGAAAAAGGACTATTTATATACTAAAATATTTTAATAATTATATTCTGATATTCCTTTTAAAACTATATCCAAGCTTTCTTAATCTATTCTATTAAAAGAACTTGATGTTCAGTTGTTGAATACTTTTCTACTTTCTATTATTCAAGATTATTATTATAATGCTTCTTTTCAAGATTTCGAATTAGATCTTTTATAATCTTATTGATAAAAACATCAAGCACTTGTATATAATCAATAATACCCCTAGGAATAATAGAAGTAATTATATTGAAATCCTTCAAAATTTATTAGAAAAGTATTATATCAAAAATGCTCTTTTCCCGAATTTGATATTTAAAGGCCGATTCCTTTATCTTGATTTTATGATTTTATGATTTTATTCTTTATAAATAGTAAAAGAGTCTAAAATCAATAAATAAGATTTATTCTTAATAGGAGATTTTATAATAGATT